TGTAAAGATCTCAGCGTGTTATGTGCTTCTTCGCATTAACAATCGATTTCTACTGCACTGCGTTAGGCGTGAATGTCTGTGAACTTCTGCTCAAGTTTCAAAGGCACGTTCTTCTGCAGTGAATAAAAGTGAAATAAATGTTCTCATAATATTGTAGTACTCAGTGGGTGAACCCATGATGAACAATATCGTTTGCACATTGCAAGAACTTTTTTAAAATATGAATCCTACTTGGCCAGGTCATATTTCTGCATAGATAGGGTACAGTGACTTGTACAAAAGCTTCTCTTGTTCCAGTTCTTGAATTGCGTGCCATACGATGTCTAGACAAGCCACATGTCTCGAAGACATTGTACTTTAGTAACAAAGTAATGTCAATTTACCTCAAGTTTTAACAAGAAAGTGCAATTTTGAGTATTCACACTTTTGCCATTCACTCATTAGTTGATTCTACAGATCAAACACCACAAGTACTCACTACTGTAACCTCAGTGTATTATTTGAGTTACCTTTCAGATCAAGCCAACTAGATGCTCTGCGAATGTTCAGTACTTGGCACCAACAAAGAATAGAAAAACAGGTTTCTGGCTTGTTTCACATATTTGCTGTACAAAAAAGAAGCCCACGAAAGTTTATTGTGATCGAAAAAAATTAACAAAAAAATATGTAGAACTGCTTTGATGGGTGTGTTGGACAGACTAGTAATCGAAGCAAAATGAACAGAAACACAAACGCAAAGAGAAATTTCTTGCAAAAATTGAGAAGTGAAAAAGTAAATCGTCAGTACGAACATGTTCTCCTTCTCAAAATTGGTAGTAAGGACTTGAATGTGAATTATCCAAAGGTTTTTCGGAGAATCTGCACACTGCGCAGACTTTCCGAGCGAGATTCTGGACGAACGGGATCGGCATTTCTCAAAATGCCGGTCGAGGTGGAAGCCGGAGATTCAACACGGTATCCTTAAATATTCGATTAATTTAGGAAAATGACTGGACAATATCATCTGCTCTAGTAAAATATGGGAACGGCAGCTATTTCACAATTGCACTTTGATGTGTAGAAATTTATATACCGTTTCTGCTGTCCGAGCGGTATCTCTCCGATGAATACTCTCGGCTTGTTTCCCTTCTATGCGACTCTTCAGCATAAGCTGAGTCTTGTGCTCCTGAACCAACAACTCACTCCCTCATGAAAACATTAGAACAAAATAGATGTTGCGATTATTGCTGCTGCTGTGCAGTGCTTGGGCAATAGGATGTGATTAGGTTTATTGATATA